CACGCTGCGGGGACAGGACAGGCGTCAGAGCCTTCTGGGACCCGCCCGGCGCACGGACACTGCAGGCCCCGGGCCACAGTCCCTCACCTGGCCGCAAGCAAACGAGCCAGGGTTCCTCCAAACTCCCAAGAGGAAAAACCTCCCGAGTTGGGAGGACCGTGTGGTTTAAATACGATGCTCTCCGGGCTGGTAGGGGGCGTGGTGCTTAAGGGCACTGGACTCCCACATGGCCAACTGCAGTTCGAGTCCTAGACCTGGCAGCTTCTTTCCTCACTTTCCCTCCTCCTCCCCCGGATCAAATTAGAATAAACAAACAAACAAAGTTAAATAAAATAATTCCTTAAAAAAACCCACGATGTTCTCTGTTCACTAACCACCAGGTGTGTGCCCTCGCGGGAGGGGGGCAGGAGAAAGCGCCCATGTGGCATGGTCACGCTGCGATCCCCGTCTCCACCCACTGGAGTTGGGCATGCACACACAGGTGCCCGGCGTGTCCCAAACTGCCAGGGCCAGGACCGTGCCCATGCCCGTGCCCGTGCCCGGCCATCTGGGATGCAGCTGCCTTAACCACCAGGCCACCAGCCAGCCCTGAGCTGGCTCCCCTTGGGCGCGCCGGACCTCGGCAGTCCCAGCAGTGGGTGGCGCACTCGGACTAGTGCCTGGGCCAGCCTGACTCCGCGCCCCGGCTGACCAGTCCCTGGAGGGTATGGTCATGGCACCGAGTGCAGGGCTGAGGCCCTGGCCCAGGGCTGTGTGGTCAGACACAGCAGCGGGAGACGCGGTCCTGCTGATGGGCCGGGCTTCCAGGACCACTGGGGAGCCAGGCACCTGGGACAGGCCCAGACGTGGACGTTCACTGAGGTGGATGCAGGCTTTTAGCGGGCAGCAGGGACACCCCAAGTCCACACAAGCAGGACCCTCTGACAGGTCAGAGCACGCGGGACACGCGTCAGCTCATGGGCGGGGACGGGGTGCTCAGTGTGACCATTTACTCCCACTGG